GGTCTCTCTCTCTCTCTCTCTCTCTCTCTCTCTCTCTCTCTCTCTCTCTCTCTCTCTCTCTCTCTCTCTCTCTCTCTCTCTCTCTCTCTCTCTCTCTCTCTCTCTCTCTCTCTCTCTCTCTCTCTCTCTCTCTCTCTCTCTCTCTCTCTCTCTCTCTCTCTCTCTCTCTCTCTCTCTCTCTCTCTCTCTCTCTCTCTCTCTCTCTCTCTCTCTCTCTCTCTCTCTCTCTCTCTCTCTCTCTCTCTCTCTCTCTCTCTCTCTCTCTCTCTCTCTCTCTCTCTCTCTCTCTCTCTCTCTCTCTCTCTCTCTCTCTCTCTCTCTCTCTCTCTCTCTCTCTCTCTCTCTCTCTCTCTCTCTCTCTCTCTCTCTCTCTCTCTCTCTCTCTCTCTCTCTCTCTCTCTCTCTCTCTCTCTCTCTCTCTCTCTCTCTCTCTCTCGGATCTCTCTCTCGCTCGCTCGCTCTCTCTCTCTCTCTGCTTTTGGTGGACAAAAACATCTCTGGCGTTGATTGCTTTCTTGCTTCGACTTCTGCCGCGCCTTTGTTCTCGTACTCATTTTTATGTACAAGTGTTGTGCAAACCAGGGAGTAGTACAATACTGTACTACTCCCTGGTGCAAACCCTCCTTTAATATAGTCTGTCTCATTTTGCCCTGAGGTGTTTTGATGCATAGAGATTATGACGCTCATCATTCGCACCCTTGTCACTGGACAGTTCTGTCCGTTTGGTTTTAGCGAATTCAAATAAAGAAAACAACAACAACAACAACAACAAACAACAATCTTCTCGCAGAAAAGGGGGAGGGGGGGGCAACAGCTGGGGGGGGGGGGGGGGAGAAGACCGACCCGTCAACTGATACAATGACATGTACATGTACATGTAACTCTGTGACTACCCACGTCCACAGACACGCGGTTCGACTCCACAGTGACTATGAACTTACAAGTATAATGAAGTATGATTGTCCAGACAGGTACATGTATCACTAACTACTAGTACTAGTATGGACTCTTGGTAATACTAATAGTCTTTACTTTGTAGATCCAGATCTACGCGGTGTGCTAGATGACTCAGACTCGGAGTCAGAGACAAACAGTCATCAACCAAAAACTTGAAAAGGCAAAATAGAGCATTTAGAGCATAATTATACAGAAATGAGGTAATACTAATAGAGCCTAACTGTCAAATCTGATTCGATTCTGAGGCAAGATCTTCACAGTCGAATCAAAAATGCACCAAAAAAATGGCAAAACTTTCGCCCTATGCGTTACCAACGGCAACGACCAGTCAGCTTTGTCACAGACTCAGTTTGTGTCAAGTAATTCAAGTAAAGCAGTTTACATGGTTTACCTCCTTGGTTTACAGATTTACAGAGTGAACGAAGTACAGACACTGAGACAGCAGTCCTGTGTGTCATGTACTTGACAGGTAGTAGATCTACTAGTACTAGTACTAGTACTAGGGCAAGCTGGAAAACGACGAACCCTGGCCTGGGTCACACTGTGTGCCCCAAAAATCATTACGGCACATGTCATTATGAATATGATCATGGCCATTACCAGCCGATCACCGGTAGATCTAGTACTATTGCCTTGGCAGTAACACAGCCATGTCAATGAATTATTTTGTGGATGTAGTATCTGCTGCATGCTGTCGTCGAGGCTCATAAGTAATAGTTCACATAACAGTCATTAGTCATAGTTATGCGTACTGATCCAGTGCAGTGCAACAAGGCGCGAAAATAGAATCGACTAGAAGTAGAAGTCACATACCGGTTTGCTAAAATCGATTGTCGTTTGAGTCACAGTCACACACCACAGGAAGTGGCAATGGCCGGCGAGCAGGTGGGATTGCTCGAGTTCATCGCAGCGGAGAAAGAGAAGCTGAGGCGAGAGCGAGAAGAGTTGCTGCTGGACAAATTTCGACTGGAGCGCAGCAAGCAGAACCAAGACACCCAGGTGATTCTTTCTACTAGCCGCAATGATTGTAACTTGTGTGAATGAATGAAGTCAGGATGGCCTGGGGCACTGGAGCCTGTGGAGATCACTTGCAAAGATTTGCCATCTGGGCTCAGCAGGCTCAAAGGAGCGCTGTGATTGTAGCGTTTGGCTAGCACCTAAAGCCGTTGTTTTGCAAGTGTTGATACCCCCTGCCCGCTACCGTGTCCGTGCAGTGCAGTCACTGGTCACTGCATGTAGCAGGTTTTCGAAAGCGTCGCTCTGCAAACCCGATACACGTACATGCCAATTAGACTGACGCTAGCTTGGCTTTGCTGGACTTGCTGGATATGTGAGTGCTGGGGTGTTATAACTATAACACCCTTATACCCAAAGCATGGCACTGCATGTATATATTGTGTTACGCTAAAGTGGCGTGTCAGTAAGAATCAGAACAAATACTTCCAATACGGTGCAACTCTTGCTCGTAATCCATCCGGCATTTCAACTGCAAAGTTTCTAATCACTCGAGGCATGGGACCGCTGTACCTGGGGAAGCAAGAAAGAGGCAGTACCGCCGGAACTGCAGTTTTCAATTGGTCCGGTCGTACCATAGTCTTTCATACAGTTTCTGTATAATATGGCGGGGACGTAGGGACGTAGGGACGTAGGGACGTAGGCCCTCCTCAGCAGTAAATAATATGGCGGGGACGTAGGCCCTGCTCAGCAGTAAATATGCGTTGGTAGATACAAAGTTGGTCCGGTATTGACCTGACCAACCGGACCCCTTCCGGCAGGCTTGAGAGGGCACTGCAAGATAGTACTGATTTGCAATGTAATGTCAACTTCTCAGAGCAGCTGAAGACCTCATAGGCTACAGCTGCACATGCACCATTGGGAGTCATGAAAATGTATGCCTCCGGGGTGAAAACAATGCAGTGTAAGTATCTAGTGGATGCTTGCTTCGTATTGCTTTGGCCACTGGTATCTATGTATTTCTTCCCTAGATACGGCGTCCTGCAAGTCGTGGTGGTTCTCGAGCAGGAATTGCTCCCGCAGCAGACCGTCGTCCTCCGTCAGCCGCCAAAGTAACAGCTGCAGCAGCAGCACCTAATCATCGACCTCCGACAACTAGCGGCACTGGCCCTGCCGCTGGCCGCGCTGCAACTGATCGGTGAGTTGAGCTAGGTTGCAAGCAAGAGGTATAAGCGTGACAATCATGCAGCCAATGCTGAATTTCTGCTCCATTAAAATCCAGGCACTGTGAGCGGTCAGCCAGCATCGGGCAGGGCTATATACCAGACCTACAGACATATACCAGACCTACAGACACTGTATATACCAGATCTACAGACACTGTATATACCAGACCTACAGACACTGTATATACCAGACCTACAGACACTGTATATACCAGACCTACGGACACTGTATATACCAGACCTACAGACACTGGTTTGTGCTTACTTATCGTTACTTCACCTGAGTCAAAGCATGAACATAATCTAGCCATTGCTGGCCATTTCAGTTTGAGTTCAGCACTGGTGCAGAGCACTGAGCGGCATATTCACGAGTCAAGATTTCATCGGACATCGCTGTAGTATATGCTTTCAACTGGCACATCAGGCCAGTGACTGGCACATCAGGCCGGTGACTGGCACATCAGGCCGGTGACTGGCACATCAGGCCGGTGACTGGCACATCAGGCCGGTGACTGGCACATCAGGCCGGTGACTGGCACATCAGGCCGGTGACTGGCACATCAGGCCGGTGACTGGCACATCAGGCCGGTGACTAGCACATCAGGCCGGTGACTGGCACATCAGGCCGGTGACTGGCACATCAGGCCGGTGACTGGCACATCAGGCCGGTGACTGGCACATCAGGCCGGTGACTGGCACATCAGGCCGGTGACTAGCACATCAGGCCGGTGACTGGCACATCAGGCCGGTGACTGGCACATCAGGCCGGTGACTGGCACATCAGGCCGGTGACTGGCACAGATGACTGTAGGGTTGTAGCCGGTCCACAAGCATATGCATGTCCCGTGCTCGCTGCAAGTTAGCTCTCCTTTCCACAGCACCGCTGTGTTCTAGTGCGTTGCTGCACTCCTCTCAGTGACTTCAATACTGATTGAGGCATACATTGTCCCCTAGTGTTGCAGCAGCTGAAAGACTATAGCATTTGATCACATGGTCAAGATGGAGTGTGTTGGTTTAATGCATTTGAAGTGTAATACATTGTAACGAGTCCCTGCACCAATACACACGGTATGGTGCAGTGTGGATGATTTGGACATTCCCATTTTGCTTGGCACAGATCTCCTATCGTGAATGCTGCGGCTGCAAAGTCCAGTGGTCAAGGTGAGGGTATGTCCGTGTATAAGGGCTGTGAACAATGCCTAATCAATCAGGGAACATTCTGCATGTGGACACCACGCACATGTGCTACGAATCAACCAGGCACATATGAATATGTATGAGGAAGATGAAGGAAGGAGTTTTGGTTGGTAACGCCATTTTCCTGGAGCTTCTTTCTTGCTTGGTTAGAGCTACCAGGAACACAAGCAAAGGGGTAAGAACTGCCGGGAACACAAGCAAAGCAAATAAGAGCTCATAAACCACATTGTTCATTGCCAATAATCATAATCTGTTGGGAATGCCTGGATTGGTAGGGTACACCATGATGCCACTCTAAACCATCTCAGGATTGATCGGTACACAGGCAATACATTGAGTGCAAGAACAGATGGCAATCGTCAATGAATGGGTACATATACTCCCGGGTTTGAGCATTTATCTGTGGTGAACCGTGATCTTTAGATGATGGCGGCGTTGGAAATAGCCTGCAACTTGGTGAGTACGAGCAGAAACGGAAGAGACTCGAACAGCAGCGCCAACAGGAATATCGGAAATACTTGGAAGAGGTGAGTTGGGCAATGTCTTTCCCGATCCTACGCTATCTCTCACAATCTGTCTGGTCAGTGATAGCTTCAATCTATCATGTCAGTGGTGAACGGAAAGAAATTATAAGCCCTACATTTTGCACTCAGGCCAGGCTGTTGAGAACGGCTCTGATAGTGAAATTTCCATCAAACACTGCCGCAGCAACAGTGCCTACCTATGCGTGCGTCTACCCGTGTGTGTGTCACCATGGTCACTGTGTGTGTGTGTGTGTGTGTGTGTGTGTGTGTGTGTGTGTGTGTGTGTGTGTGTGTGTGTGTGTGTGTGTGTGTGTGTGTGTGTGTGTGTGTGTGTGTGTGTGTAGGGGGGCTGGTGATGTAAGAATGTTGAGGAGTGGCAGATTGCCCCATAAACCAGCCTTCTTCTTCTATTCTTTTGCAGAAAAAGCGAGCTGGCAAAGATGCGAGGCCACCCAGTGGAGCAGCTGGGAAGGTAAGATGGAATTTAGAAAGAAAGTGTGACATGTGTCATTCATTGTGTGCATTCAGATGCCCAGTGAGTGTTTGTATGTGTGTTGGGGGGGGGGGGGGGCTTCCTGACTTTTCTTTCATTCTCCTGGGTGGTTACCAACAGCCAGTGCATGCTGGAGTATGTGGTATGATGTGTGTGCGGGAAAAAATAAATAAAAAAGAACAAAAAGTAGGGATTCACTGGCCAGAAAAAGCCACTTCACAGCTGTGTGGTGTAGACCAGGCTGAATAGTGGTGGCCAATTCTTCAGCCTTGCAAGCTGATGAATGGTGCAATCCCAGCACAAGTTGCTATGGCTTCTGCTGTAGCATCGCTATCATCGCCTCTGGCGATAGGCGTCCAATGGTCCAATGGTTGGGGGGGGGGGGGGGGGAGGTATCCACAGGTTCTATACCTTGTGGGGTTGCATGTCTGTTCATAGTCTTTAGTCTGACTCCCGTCATTATTGACCGTCGTGCTGCTTCTTCGGCTTTAGCACTCATACATGTTTGGGTGCCACTCGCCTAGTTACCCTGCTGGTACTAGCGTGTCAGAATGCCAAAGCACACATGATGATGGGACTTTCGGCATCATGTTTTTCTGTGTCCTGAATATGTGCTATCCAGCGACCAAGCAGTCGTCGAGGTGCCGAGCTACAAACACGAGGCATAGCCACACCCTGCTCACATCCAACAGGTGATGGTGGGCCGAGGGGCCAGGAGCAGACGGTCGGAAGAGATCTGCAGATGCTGGAAGAGCACGAGAGGAAAACGGTACGGGCCGCTCCAGGCACGCAGTTTGAAGGAGGAAAACTAGCTAAGAGCGCCCTGTTTCTGCCAGCATTCGACACTGACTGGAATTGATACTGTCACCGCTTGTATGTCAAGCTCAGCTGCTTGATGAGTAGCGGTGCTTTTGCATGAAACTCATAGAGATTTTTGTGACTCGAGAGGGGTCAGAAAGGTGCACGCAAGAAGCAGAAGGGAGTGCCCGGATCTGGGGAGTCCAGATAAGGGTGTTTCTTTTTCTTTCTTTTTTACTGTATTTAGCCAACACCGTTAACACCATGCCCATCTACAGATAATTAACATTGTGTGTGCGCCTCTGTGCTGGTTGGCTGTCCAATGTAGAGGAAAGAACTGGCGGACAGAAAGGCCGAGTATGCGGCATACTTGCGGGAGCAGGACAGGAAGCCACAGCAGCGGCCCAGCAGCAGTACAGCAACTGGACTGCAACTGAGAGACCCAAAATCAGCTCAGGTAACTTTTATGTAATCGATATCGGTCAGCCAGCATCATATGCGTGTCATGTCCCCAAAGATTTCCAGCTGTTCCTTGAAGTCACCTAAGATGTTTGAACTCGTACGATGCTATCAGACTATTTTTGCATGACGCGTGGCTGTACGTACCTTGCATCTGTTTTGTTCTGGGGAGTGTAGTGTTTTCTGCTATGATTTGGCACTGATACCCTGTGATGCTTTTTTCAACGTCTTGCTCTCCACATACAATCGTTCTAAGGAGAGACTAAAGGAAGAACGACGGCGTGATTATCACAACTATCGCAAGTCGCTCGAGGCCGAGGAGAGAGAATCTCAACAGCCCACAGCACGGCAAAGATCAGTGCCAGCAACCAGCCTAGCGATTGGATCCGAAGCTCAGAAGGTGATTGAATGATTAAAAAACAACAACAATACTACTTGTAGAAAGGAAAAGGACATATGGATACGAGTTAAGAGTAACTCTCCATCACTGTAACTGGATACTATATACAGTCAGAAAGTGCAATAACTAGGCACAAAACTGACAGAGTACTGAGACATTCGACGTCCTGACACCTAGCTTCAACACATCTCCGTAGCGCTAACCGACAGCCTTCCAACTTGGAAGGTTCAAGGTTATGGAAAGACCAAAGAGGGTACTTTACTCTTATCCATATGTCCTTTTCCTTTCTACATTTATTTATGGCTCAACATCCGAGTAACAATACTACTACAGGTTTTAAATGGTGTGTACCTCGGGAGAACTAGGAGAACTGAGCCATATAACTACAGCTACACATGTGACCACTGGCACACAATGTGTGGCCAAACACCTTTTAGGACCAAGACCAAGGGTAAAGGAATTTAGTCATTTGATTGCGACAACAGAAGTTCTTCAAAAATAACGAATAGAAGGCAATTGTACCAAAACACTGTTTATGTTAGTGTGAACTTCCGTGTGTGAAAACCGTCAGTGTTGTCATTCGATTCATTTTGGAAGGAGCCCCTTTTCCTCTCCTTTATCATCTCATAGTTTTTTTGATTTGACGTACTGCTAATGGTGGCATGTGTGGGTATCATTGCGGCCAATTAACTGCTTTTGTCTGCAGGAAAGACCACGTGACCAGCGAGAGACAGCCTACCACGTGCCAGAGCAACATGCTGAGATGGACCGGGCCTTGCAAGACTACCCGCGGGCAAGGCAATACGAGGTGAGTATTTCTACACTGTCCACCCGGCTCTTTCCCCGTGCCAGTACTAGCAGGCAATGAACCACCGCTTATGTTCACACTCGTGTTGCTTTGATGATGTTCTTTTAAAAGTTGTAACATTTGGCTAGCCTTAGCACGTGGTGCAGTATTGCACAATTCCATCACTGTTTACTCTGTACCAGTCTCACTACATCAGCTGCAGTGTTCATCTTAGTGCCACCTTGTAAGTACATCGTTTCCGTACCGTAGGTGTGGTCTTATCATCTGATGTAGTCTTATAGAAAAGGGCATAGGTTTAAAATATGCTATATCCTTTTCACTGCTTGTTTCTGTATGGAATCTTGATGATGGTCCAGGGCTGAAATTTTGTTTTTGTTTTTTTTTACCTTATTTCCTTCTTTTTGCAAATGCAGTACATAGACTAGTTCCATGGAGCTAGTGTTGGTGTGTGACACCTTTTGGCTTTAGTGATTATGATATGTGCAGACTTAAGGTGATACCAGTCTTTGAGAAGCAATACAGCATGTTTGCATGTTGTTGTTCTCCTGCAATGCTGGTCAGGTTCTGGCACAAGAGGATTGGGACAATTTTCGACGTCTGGCCTATGACCCGCAGCTGCCGCGGCCCATTCACAGCCCTCTGCAACGGCACTACCACAACCCACTACCGCCTCTACCCGATCTAAGTATGCTGGACCATTAGCACACATAGCCGACGAAAAACTACTCGTAACTAGTTGAAACTCTGAGTGTTATGCCTATAATTGTGGCAATTGTTAGACAAGCTGCACGACACTCTAGTTTCCACTAATTTCGAGTGATTTTTCATCCTCCGCTGTGAAGTGCTCTGCTTTCAGTATAACAAGCACTGCTTTAACTGGTGGACCGTTGGTGTCTCTCATCATTTGAATGGTCGTGCATGGTGGAATCACACTTCCCGGTATTCTCTGGCCATTCAACTCTGCTTGACTTGAGACCAAACGGTGTTCATTGCTGCATTCAAGCTGGGCAGCAATGAACTTCAGTGTAGACTACGGGTACTCGCTGCCTTGTTGGCCAGGAGTAATGAATTATACAACTTGCTCCCAGTTCTTGCACTGCATGAGTTTCTTTTTAAACACGCTTCTGTGCTATTGGACTTGTGCCCGTGTGCCAGTATTATCTAGGGATCACTGGGCTACCTGGTTGTAGGCAAAGTTCAAAAACAAGCATGCAGTCATTGCGCACACCCTGAATGCCCAGTGCACTACAACTGTGCAGCAGCATAGTTTCTCACACCAGGCAATTCTCTACACATTGTGCTGCATGTTTGTATATCTACACATTGTGCTGCATGTTTGTATATCTCGTGCATTACAGGAGATCTTCGGTACTATGATGACTTGCGGCGCCAGGAAGCTCTGACCAGGTATTTCTTTTCAGCCTGTGTTATCTGCGACCCTTCACGATCCCTGATGTCGGTGTACGTGCAAACCAGCAGAACTAAGTCAAATGTAAAACAGGGAACAACAGATATGAGAAAGCCTGAGAGAGTCTGGTCAGTGGAGAGAATAAGAGAGAAGGAGAAGGAGAGGGAGCATGAAACAGGGAGGAAGAAAGGAATAGGAGGGGTGCAAGAACAGGAAGGAGAGAGAATGAGATAGATAAAGTGGAAATATAAAGTGGGAGGGAATGGAACTTACAGGAATATTCCTAGCCCTTTCCACATTTGTGAACACAAATCACATCACCACACTAGAAACCTTGAATGATGAGCGACTCCATTTGCCAAATGCACATACATTCCCTTTATCCATGTGTGTGTGTGTGTGCGTGCGTGTGCGTGTGTTTCTTGCTCAGCATGCGGCAGCCAGCGGACCCACTGTGGGTAAGGATAACACTTATAATCACTACCATGTCATGTCAAAGGCCAGTAATTTGGCAACTAAGTCTACGTTGGTTGCGTGTGCGGGGGTGGGGGGGGGGGGGTGGGGTGGGGGCACTTTCTGTAAGGAGACGATCTGTAGGCATATAACGCTATAACTACCTCTGCATCATATTCTTCCATGGCTGGATCAGTTGCGTAGCAGCAGACACTGTTGAGATTGCTCTCCTGATATGGGTGTTTTGATGTTGCAGGACGCTTCACGTCGACGGCAGCTATCACCAATTGACAGGTACGTCCAACTTACAACAGCACACACTTAGTGGTACCATCACCTGTAGGTGGATAGTTGGTACATCTCCCTGACACGGTCAGTGGTGGCAAGTACCGGGAATACACATTACTCTGTGCACTCACTTGGTAACTGGATGGTGTATGCAGCCACTAACTCGCCAATTGTACACCCCACAATTTTCTGACGATTTCCGGGGTGAATACTGACATACAATCTGTGCAAAAGCGTTATGGGCACCTGGCAAACCTTGCAAGGCTGACTCTTTAATGTGTTCTTGATCTGCGCTCCTTGTGAAGGAGACAAGTGCGCTTTGGTGAGACTGGAGACGACCGTGCTCTACATGGGTAAGACGAAGACCCACCCCTGTGCAGTAGATTATGATGATTGAATTGTTCTATGAAATACTGCCGGAGCGGCAAACACCCTACAGTCGCTAGGTATTGACCGTACCACCTGTTGGCCCCGGTGTCCCATGAATCAATAAACTGTAATGATTTGGGCTCAACGTTTTGAAATCATGGGACCCGGAGGAGGATTTTAGATGGTTGGCCGGACCACACTTGATTGTGGGCACAGCATTTAGCATTATATTATTCTTCGGTGGCACGGTGTCATATTGTTTCATTGTTACGTACGTGCACACACACACACACACACGCATACGCATGCTAACATAAGCTGACGCATATGTCCGCATACGACTTTGTTGTACATGTGCTGTCATTTTCAGCTCTGCAGACCTCCGGAATCGCGCAACATCTGCTCCCAGTCGGCATAATGGTACAGTATTACTGGGAAAAATACACAGTGACCGGTATATTACATTGTATTTCTATTTGATTTTATAACCGGTATGACAGAAATACTTACACAGAGACACTGAGATAGTAATTAATGGTAACCTGTACAGATATTGGTATTTCAAAAAGGATTGAATTTGTCCTTGTGAAAAGATGATTGTATAATAATTATTTTGGCTTTCCCCTGTCACTTATCAGTCTGGACAGAGTCCTTGTTCACCAATGGCACAGCATGTCCTCTCAACGTTTCAATGTGATGCACATATGCACAGGCCGCTAACCCCAAAGCTAGTCGTCACCTAGCGGTTGATTGCCGTGTTTATTCTCCTCGCATGTTCACACGTACACCCAATCGTCTCCTTTGCTCGTTCCTGATGTTGAACACAACACATATCTACGGAAAAAACGTATGCAACTGGGCGGGTACCTTGCAGACGCATTCGCAATATTCATCCTGGAATCGAATAGTCTAACTCAAAAGTGAGAAAGCAGTAAAGTGGTAAACACACATGCTTTTCTTGCGTACTTCCGGCTTTCGGCAGGATGTTTGTCCTTCAGGAAGGTACGAGCAAATCATAACACAAGGCCGCAAATAATACACTTCATTCCCACGACACTGTTGCTTTTATCATAGACACTTCTGTGTGTTCCCAATCAGGGCTGTGTGGTACCAGCAGACAATGTGCTTCATTCCTTCATTGACTTTCGCAGTGTTTGCCTGTAATTACAATGATGAGGTGGCACGAAAGGATTTTAGTGAAATTAGAATAACACCTCTGGTTCGGGAAAGAGTAAAGTTTGAATAAATTTCAGCACAATGTCAAAAAATGTATAATTATATTGTCAGTAACCCTCAAGGAATTGAACATTGCTCACTCGGTGCTTAGTTATAGATATAAAGGAGAATGTTTCTAATTCAGTAAGCCGAATACGGTGACCAAAGTTCAAAGTATATGCAAGAGTAAAACAGTGTGACCGGTCCAGGATGATCATGTGGTGAATATATCCAGTGAAAGTGCACTAACGCAAAGTGGAGACGCAAGACCTGCTAGCGCATGTTCCTGTGGACAACGTAAGGCCTTGGAGACGAAAAATTGCCTTAGGCAAGGAAATTGTCACGCCGGAGAAGGATGGTGGCTCACAATGGCCACAATACCACCCGAGGCTGCAGATGATGATGATGTTCACACGCTGATATGGGAATTTCATCTATTCATTAGGTATTGGCCACCAGTTCTTACGCGTGGGCAACGGTTCAAATATGATGCACTTCGGCTGGTGGTGACGCTTAACAATGTCACGTTCGTCGGGCCCGTTGCAAGGTGCCGTATCCTTGTGGAAGCCGGCAATGTATGCCATCTCGGTGCCCTTTAGCGGGTCAGTAAAGACACTGTCTGGCAGTCCAGGACTCTCGTATGTCGTGTAGTTGTACAAGTCAACATAACCCGTGTCCAAGTCCTCCTCGAAGCGAAGTGGAATATTCGTCCCCGGCTTGAAGTAGATGTTGCGATAGTTCCTGAAGACCAAGAAGATGTTCCACCACCACTCAAACTCCCACAGATCGGCCTGGACATTCTTTTCACCGTCTAGTCGATCAAGAGTAGCTGGTCGGTGTGTTGGCTGGGACGTGCACAGCTGATCGCGATGCCACGCCCGGAACGGATTGCGCTCGCAGTACACACAGGAAGTATTCGAATGCGGGAACACGTATGTCACCGTGCTGTTACGGAAGATCACGCTGCACGGGCCAGCGTAGTTAGCCTCCAGCCCAGCATCCCAAAGCTGCTTGAACGGACAAACCGGACCGAAGTCAACACGAAGGCTAGTACGGTCAGCAGCCCCAAACTCCTGGAAGTAGAATGTGGACGTGCCAAAGCGGTCGGGTGATTCAGGATCCTCGGTGATGTTGAAATACTTACCAGTTGCTGACCACGATGCAGCAAACAACGGTGGGTTTGGACTTGGTAGGGTGACCTTCGCTTTAGCCTGTTCACGCATGGCTGACTTTGATTCACTGCCGGGCTGTTTAAGGCCGAGGACTTTCCATGTTGGATCGCAGCGCGTGGTGTGACGGCCGAATGCAACATCGGACGCAGGTAGGTAAACAGGCCAACAAGACAGGCCCTCGCAGCAGCGCTGGTCCGCGAACTCCGACGAATCGTTGCAGTTCAGGCGGTGCAGAATCATGCAGCGATCGGCGGCCGAGTCCACGGGACATGCCTTGGCATCATAAGGGAGGCTCTCCACCTCGCCTGGCCTGACCTGATGACAAACACCACAACCCACACTCTGCAAGTACTGGTATTTTATCACCTGCACGGTTTCTGGCTTCGCACCGGCACTCACCAGTCTCTTCTCCTCAGCGTAATTTCCAAAGTGCTCGTTTTCGGGTAATAGAGGTATGCTGCGCACCTTCCGTAGCACACGTGGCTGGTTCTTGTGGCTCAGCTGATGCACGAACCACATCACCGCCTCGTGACAGTGTCCATCCCGGATGGTGTCGTGCATCTCCGGGGATTTCTGGGAGATTTTCATTTCTTCTTTCCAAGTCAGTTCGTGATCGTCTAGGCTGGCGTTTGGTCCGTGACGAAGTCTACGATTGTCTTTCCTACCCTGGTACATGTCATCCAAAGCCGGTGATCGGTGTTGTAGCACCGTACGTTGAAAGCTGTGAAGCTCATCCAAGCGAAACTCGTGACAATTGCGCAGCTTATCCTGCGCTTTGAAGCCGTGACGCTCGACATTGCGGCGCAAATGCTCATTCAATACTGTCGCGGAATGCGAAAATCCTGTACCGCGATAAGCGCTTCGTGGCTTTCGCGTGTGGGCTCTGTGCGCATCTTGCGGCGAAATCCTCTCGTCGATCACTTTCTGTGCGTCGAACTCCGGCAGTTGGTATCCTGCCGGTCGACATGTGCCTTCAGTGAAGTCACACTTGGGCAGATCTGGTGGGCAGCAGAAAAACCGCGTGGAGTCCTCATACAAGTCAGGTCGATTGCAGCAAACGGCGTTCTCTTCCAGGCAGCAGGCCGACTCGTTCAGTTTTGAATCGCGTCCGCAGCAGACGTTATGGCACGTCGTGAATCCTCGCTCCGCACACGAGCGAGATCCTGCAGCGAGTGGTCCTGCCAGCACTAGAATGCTCGCCGAGCAAACGAGAATTACAAGTGAGGAACGCATTGTTCCTCGAGTACTTGTACCACTGGCACCCGCAGCGCTAGCGACAGCTGAAAGAAAAATAATTATTTCGAGACCTTTTGTCAGAGAATCCGCTGCAGAGGAACCCTGACTGGAGCCGAGTAGATCACTAGGAAGCTTCGCCTAGCTCGGCCAGCACGTCGTTTCAAGGAGTCTGAAGAGAGCGTGGCTATCCGGTGAAAGTCAGACCAGGGGGAGTCCTGAAGAATGAAGTGCGATGAAGTTAGTAGTTCGCTTCACGCTTTGGAGAAATTCCTAGTCAGCGCTTTCACTCAAGTAGAACTCTCCCTGTCATTTGTTGCCTGTCTGTTTTATGTGTAGCCGTCATTATGACTGTCATTGCTAGTAGGTGAAGATCGCCATAATCACCTGATCACTGATATCATGGAGGGATTCAGGAGTCACGAGATTGAAAAATGTGCATGTTGCTTTTCGTCACGTGTCTCGAGCGCTGTCTCATCGATCATGCGTTTTTACTAGCAGCTGTAAACATGGTAAAGACTAAAGACAAGTGTAATCATGGTAATGACATGCGGCATCCAGATTCCAGGTCAGGCCTGCAGGCTAGGCGCGCGCAACAATATGGTTCACTATCTCAAAGTGGAGGAAGCGTTGATGAGTGCGATTTTCGTGCAGTTTTCAGGGCAGTTTTCAGGGCAGTTTGACACTCAACTCTAAGTGAATGTAACTGGTTTCACGCCAGCAGACATGGTGTAATTCATTCTGATCTACACTCTAAACTCCAGTATCGCCGAAGTAAGTTAGTTGCAACAACATCTTCACGCTGTACTAAAACCATCATGATGTAAATGAATGAGCAATCAATACCTTTAGGGCTTTCTGGCACTTTGTGTCGCCTCTCCCACATTGACATCACCCATTACCAGGCCAGGGGCCCTCCTCACTTACAGTACAGTAGTTCTGCATCCCCATTTACCTGAGTAGATGTACACTGGCTTAGTAAAGTCACCGGGAAGTTAGGTATAATCGGCGCAAGGTTGCTGGGTGTAATCATGCTGGTAGTGCCAGTGGTGAAGCCGGCAATGTCACCTGCAGCTGTTCTCTTGGCAGTAGTTGGGGCTGCTATACTGTGTCACAGTGATCTCTTGCCGGGTGTGGCATGTACTAGCACAGCTGATGATGTCGCCACTGGCGGCGGGGTGGTGGCATTATCATGTGAGCAGCGTGGCTACACGTTGTGCGCGGACGCGTGCTGCGGGCGCAACTCCACCAACGGCGAGGCCCTGTGCTGTCTGGAGACGCGCGGCGCAACGTGCTGCAACCGGCCGTCCTTGGCCGAGCAAGGCAATCGGTTCTTCTGCTGCCCGGCCAGCATGCCGGTGTGCGACTTTGATGCCGGAACGTGTCGCCCCAGTCAGCAAGGTCAGGCCCGTGCTGCTGCTGCTTCTAATGATGGAGACGAGCTAGAGGGTCTGTTCCGGGCATACAGAGCCAAGCCCAGGCGCCACTACCAGGGACATTCGTTCAGCAGTAGCAGCAATGTACTCAACAAACACCTGCACCAGAACATTGCAAGCCATGGGCTTTCGGCCGACAGGATACTGAAGCCGTGCTCAGAGTTCAGTGCAGAGGACCTGTACACACTGCAAACAAACATCCTGTCTTTGCGGGCATTTCATCTTGACACCCACTATCAGAAGAAGAAAGACAGGAGGCGATTACGATTCTCCTCGCTTGATGACTTCCACCAACAATGGAAGACGATCAGAGACATGGTCACAGAGTTCCCTAACTCCAAGGAAGCTGTGCTCAGTGGATTCTGTCATGAGGCAGTGATGTGGTATATCCATCATCTTCACAGGCAGCAACAGAAGAAGACACTTGAGACGTCCGTGTCCATCCCGTACTTGCCAGAAACTCGCTTCTTCCAGCCAGGCAACACGGACGCCGCACCGCCGGATCTCTCTGACCTGCCTGAGGAATCTCTGGAGCATGTTCGACGGGTGTATGTGCACCAGATCGGCTGTGGTGCATGTCACATAGCTAATGTCTCTGTCCTTCCGCCCAATGCTACCCACTGCCCAGTTCCCGTGAGTGTGCCTTGCATGAACCTTGGCCAGCTACACTGTAACAGCAGTGCTGCGCAGGGTGCGTACCAGTGCTGCCCGGGGCTGGTATGTGAGCCGGTCTACATCCCCGCATCAGAGGTAGCGTTTTCGCTCAACACCACCCGATGCGCTGTGTCGGCAGATATCCGCAGTGCATTTAGCAGTAGCGTTGAGGGAATCACTCCTCCCACCGCAGATACACATGTGCGCAAGGATGTGAATACAATCCGGGATACCGCTGCACCACCCCCTGCACCCGTACTGCCGGCATCGTGGATTGCAAACGGCACGTACTACAACTTGACTGCTGACGATCCTAGCCAGCCCGCGGGTACGGTAAACTTCATGTACCAGGAGCATGGCTTCAACAACCAGACCACCATCCGTTTGGATTTCGGCCCGGTGTGCCCGTTCAAGCAGCTCTGGAAGCGCGGACTGGAGTCGAACTACGTGCCGTGCACTGTGCTGTTTCGCAATAGCACCGTACTGTATGCATACCAGGGGCAACATGCCTGCGTGTACTGCTCTGAAGACTCGGTTACCGCATGGCACAGAGATTTCCTGTGTTCGGCGGCCAGCACCCTGAGATCAAACATATCCATTTCCCTGCACAATGCCGAAAGTGTTACCGTGGATGAATGGCGCTTTGAATGGTGGACGACCATTTTCCTGGTTCTGCGCAACTACCGCAACTGGTTATTTGTGCCCGGGACAAACACCCCGGTGCGAGTGTCGGAAGACCTGGATACGGGTTACACCGACTTTGATCAGTTCACCGAAGTGCCCGCACCGGGACTCAGTGATGAGGAGCTCACACGGGGTCTCACGGACCTGAACGTGTCGTACGTTGCAGGCTTGCACGGCACTCGGCCGTGCCCGGGGCCAGACGAAAGGCAATTTGTCAAGCCGGACGATCTGCCAGAGTGTATCTTTGTGCAGGCAATACCTATCAGGAGAACATGGCCACAGCGGGAATGGCCCGAAGGATGGGAATGGCCCGAAGGATAGATCTACCAGTCAAGTGGACAACCAATAGGAGAAGACAGAAGCTAACATTAATCTTTTGTTTTAATGGGATCAAATGATAGTTACCAATTATTGGTACTGGCCATCATTTGATCCCATCAAAAAGTATTCAAGAGGAGATTGAATCAACCACAAGGAGACAAGAGCTGATCATGAACAAGAAATTTAACATTTCACCCATACTTTATATCTTCTTTAAAATGAAGAGTACAGAATATTTCAATAACCGACGAGGAGACAACAGTCGTAAAATAGCAATGAAAAATATCAATTGTGCACTCATAATCATGTATAAACAATTAAAATGAAACAATTCCAGAACGTTTTCGTGTGACCATCATCAGTGGAACATCGTCACATAGTAAAAATCACTAAAACAACCAGTTATATAGCTAGAGTAACATGAAAAGAAGTGTGAGAATGCAGCACAGCTAGCGGTTATGCATAACGCGTGTAGTGTGAACCTTTGCAGTGTATCTGAGAATGGTAGCAGTAGATGAATGTGGCACTACACACGTTATGCATAACCGCTAGCTGTGCTGCATTCTCACGCTTCTTTTCATGTTACTCTAGCTATATAACTGGTTGTTTTAGTGATTCTTACTATGTGACGATGTTCCACTGATGATGGTCACACGAAAACGTTCTGGAATTGTTTCATTTTAATTGTTTATACATGATTATGTGTGCACAATTGATATTTTTCATTGCTATTTTACAGAATATTCCATTTGTATTTGGACCCAACTCATTCAGAAGCCTTACAACTTACACCAAACTTGTGAATACTTAATCCATCCTAGGGTACATTGTAGGTAGTTCCACAGTGTGCTGTGCCTGAAGCAGAACATTTACACACTTTTCACAGCAAGGAGAGGCAGTTCCGGTCTCAGAACTCCGAGTTTCATGTTGTTCAATTGGTCATCAGGCAACATGATCGTGAACAGGGAAAATTTCGGAGTTTCCCCCAAAACTGCCTCTCCTTGTATGCTTCTACAACTGCTCCTCGCTGTGAGATTGCGACTGGACACGGTGTGGTGCTGGTTAATACTGCAGCTTGCACTTGATTGCTAACTAGTACTCCCAAGGTTGAGATGTCAGTGTCTATTCCCTGTACACAGTACATCACTGGTTCTGACTGCTACTCAGTGTTACGGCTCCATCTCAATGTTACCGGCAGACAGTCTCTCCCCACCCACCTCTGTGGTTCTGCAAGCCACAGCACCAGCACTCCCACTGATTTGTGGGTCTTTCAGCCATGCATGGTGCTCGTGTAGAACCGACAGATCATGAGTGCTATTACTTGCTCACTCAAATCTTGGAGCTTGCTTCTCAGTCATTGGATTGCCGCACCTGCCTGAAACCTGTTTGACTTTTCCCCTTTCTTCTGCCGCACACCAGCAGCAGAACTGCAGTCTTGTGACTTTTGACTTTTGACACATCTTTGCAGTACTATCTGTTACATCATTGATGCATCCAAAGGCTTGCAGTTCTTCCTTTAGGCACTGGTCTCTCAAAAACATATAACTAACTTCGACAATACAAGTCATGCTCTTGTCTTGCCTTGTACACGTATATACACTTGGGAAAGGCTGCGTTGACAAGCTGGTGGGGGACGGCTTAGGAATTCAGTGCGATCTTGCTTCTCCCGTTTCCTGCACATATCCCTCAAAAATGCTATATTTATTATGTACCATTGTTCGAGCCTTATTGTAGCAATGGCCATTGTAGCTTCAAAAAAATCACCTCCGCATTGTCCCCAAGCGCCTCCTTGTCCTTGCCCCTCGTCGGGACTCAACCTGGGTAATGGCTCTCTGCAAAGCTGCTGCATGATCATGAAGCATACCAAACGTTAGTGTACGGAGCAAGTAATGCGCCTGCTAATGGCATATCATTGTGCTGACTTTCACAAGATTGGTATCACTTACCGCTATAGAAATCTCGCGTATGTCAGCAGTTTGCAAATACTTGGCAGTATAGTTTTACTGTAAAGGATAGCTGTTGGCTTGCTCCACCAGCACAGGTTCCTTCTTGGAGCCCCTCCTCTTCCCAGTGTTGTCCTGCTACTTCTCTCCTCTCTTCTTACAAGTAGGTTGTGTCTTCAATAAAAATAATATAACATGAGTAAAATAAACACAGTGGACCCAATCTCATGATTGCTCTCTTTTGTTTGCAACCATGCAGATCGCCATCCCCTGCCGGCATCACATGACCTCTACCCACTGCCCTCTCAATCCATCCTTCGTCCATCTTCAAGGCATGCTGCCTACAGGGTACGTATGCTCTTGCTATACTATGTACTGCTATTTTACCTGCATATGGGGAGGGGGTGCAGCACCAGTACTAGTAGGGCGTTATGTCATCTGGGCCCTTCTTCCATAAAAAACAAGTGTGTTGTGACATGTTTTGTACTGCAGGGCGATGAAAGGCTGACAACGGTGAGGCCGCTGTCACCAATGTACAAAGTTGCACCAATGTTCTTGGCCGGCACTGGTAGTGAGTCGAGACATGGCGCTGCGTCTCCGCCGAGGCTGCGCTCTGCTGGTCAGCGGAGGCCTCCATCAAACATGGGATTAAGAAGATCAACACTTGGTCACCATGTATCGGGTAAGCAAGGGTTGTAACTTGGGAAGTGCGGGGAACTGTCATGCAAGCTGTCAGACTGGTTGCTAACTTAACACACAAGCTAACACCTGTTCTTTATTAAAAGATCTCTTGCAGATTCTATTGTATTATAATGAAACACTGTTGTGGCATGCTGTCCCAGGATACCTTACTCAACACACTTTTCTGACTCATCCTAAAAAAATCCCCTCAAATCAGAATGCTCGCTATGTCGATATACAGATGGCATCGCAGCAGAGCATATGCACATGATCCACTGAGCAGCTCAATTATTGCAAGTCTTGACACTGTTCTAATTCTACGCCCATCGCACTGTGTGATTTGCAAACAGACGAGGCGGGCGGTGACGTGGGACCGTCAATAAGCATGGTGGGACTTCCAAGCACAGCAGGTCATCATGACAGCACACCAAGAGATCGAGACAAGAAAGCGGCATATAGAGAAGAGCTAAAGAGACAGGTAGGCACCGCTTGTTGTGCCTGAGACTTCATAAGACGTGCCTCAGGAGGCTCCATAAGAATCTAACTGCCCCGGTGTTGATGCCATCACGTGTTTGAGTTGTCGTGTGACTTCAGCACTGACGTCATTATAATGTATGTGATTTGAGCAGTGACATCATTATAATGTATGTGATTTGAGCAGTGACATCATTATAATGTATGTGATTTGAGCAGTGACATCATTATAATGTATGTGACTTCAGGGGAGTTTCCTGGAAGGGTGAATGGGATGAAAGGGGAGTGAAAAGGGGCCAAGGGAAAGGGCTTAGCAGAAACACTGCTCAAGTATGCCTGTAACTGTCTCCTTGCTCTGTCTTTACATCTTTCTGCTTCGATGATTGGACCTGGAATGTTGTGTCACGATAGATGGAAGAAAAAGCAGCAAAAGAGGAGGCAGCGCGAAAAAAACGTGAAAGGTAGGTGGAAACCTTCACTGCATGGTGTACATACATGTAGGTGTGTAAGGCTGTGCAGCATAAATATACCTGGGTGGAAAAAAATATTCAGGGCACACTCGGAGTTGAACCAAGGACCTCTCGATCTGCAGTCGAATGCTCTACCACTGAGCTATATGCCCCAAGATGTCTGTGGATCCCAGTTGTGGTGTGTTTGTGCATGTTCTGGTGGTTCATACCCTGATTTATGATTACCGTAAAGTACCGTTGATCCCCCAACGCCGTGTCGCTTCCCAGCTGGTTTTTCGGCAGGGTGCGGGAATTAGATCAAGTCGTTTAAGTGCAGTACGATGTACGACAAAGCAGAAGATCAGACCTGGCATGCTGGATTGTGCACATGTTCATCCTGCACTCGTACGTATTGTGTACAGCAGTGCATGCGTCAGCAGTGCATGCGTCAGCAGTGCATGCGTGAGCAGTGCATGCGTCAGCAGTGCATGCGTCAGCAGTGCATGCGTCAGCAGTGCATGCGTCAGCAGTGCATGCGTCAGCAGTGCATGCGTCAGCAGTGCATGCGTCAGCAGTGCATGCGTCAGCAGTGCATGCGTCAGCAGTGCATGCGTCAGCAGTGCATGCGTCAGCAGTGCATGCGTCAGCAGTGCATGCGTCAGCAGTGCATGCGTCAGCAGTGCATGCGTCAGCAGTGCATGCGTCAGCAGTGCATGCGTCAGCAGTGCATGCGTCAGCAGTGCATGCGTCAGCAGTGCATGCGTCAGCAGTGCATGCGTCGGTTGAAACTGTATTGTGCACAGCAGTGCATGCGTCAGCAGTGCATGCGTCAGCAGTGCATGCGTCAGCAGTGCATGCGTCAGCAGTGCATGCGTCGGTTGAAACTGTATTGTGCACAGCAGTGCATGCGTCAGCAGTGCATGCGTCAGCAGTGCATGCGTCAGCAGTGCATGCGTCAGCAGTGCATGCGTCAGCAGTGCATGCGTCAGCAGTGCATGCGTCGGTTGAAACTGTATTGTGCACAGCAGTGCATGCGTCAGCAGTGCATGCGTCAGCAGTGCATGCGTCAGCAGTGCATGCGTCAGCAGTGCATGCGTCAGCAGTGCATGCGTCAGCAGTGCATGCGTCAGCAGTGCATGCGTCAGCAGTGCATGCGTCAGCAGTGCATGCGTCAGCAGTGCATGCGTCAGCAGTGCATGCGTCAGCAGTGCATGCGTCAGCAGTGCATGCGTCAGCAGTGCATGCGTCAGCAGTGCATGCGTCAGCAGTGCATGCGTCAGCAGTGCATGCGTCAGCAGTGCATGCGTCAGCAGTGCATGCGTCAGCAGTGCATGCGTCAGCAGTGCATGCGTCAGCAGTGCATGCGTCAGCAGTGCATGCGTCAGCAGTGCATGCGTCAGCAGTGCATGCGTCAGCAGTGCATGCGTCAGCAGTGCATGCGTCAGCAGTGCATGCGTCAGCAGTGCATGCGTCAGCAGTGCATGCGTCAGCAGTGCATGCGTCAGCAGTGCATGCGTCAGCAGTGCATGCGTCAGCAGTGCATGCGTCAGCAGTGCATGCGTCAGCAGTGCATGCGTCAGCAGTGCATGCGTCAGCAGTGCATGCGTCAGCAGTGCATGCGTCAGCAGCGCATGCGTCAGCAGCGCATGCGTCAGCAGCGCATGCGTCAGCAGCGCATGCGTCAGCAGTGCATGCGTCAGCAGTGCATGCGTCAGCAGTGCATGCGTCAGCAGTGCATGCGTCAGCAGTGCATGCGTCAGCAGTGCATGCGTCAGCAGTGCATGCGTCAGCAGTGCATGCGTCAGCAGTGCATGCGTCAGCAGTGCATGCGTCAGCAGTGCATGCGTCAGCAGTGCATGCGTCAGCAGTGCATGCGTCAGCAGTGCATGCGTCAGCAGTGCATGCGTCAGCAGTGCATGCGTCAGCAGTGCATGCGTCGGTTGAAACTTGAAAATCGTATTTCGTTGTATACTGTAAACCCCCTAATTTTAGCCACCAATATATTTAGCGATTTCGAATTGTCGACGTTTTAGCGACCTTTTATTTTAGCGATCGGAGTAGACAGTTTTTTGGGTAATGTGAGCAAACGTAGCACAGTCATGTACAGTCATGTACATGCACATCTACAGTATGTGTACTGGTAAGGGGTCGTCGCAAAAAATGTTTGTCGTCCCTGAAACGAACATGATTCATTTGGGGGGGGGGGGGGTGCGAGCCAAAATCGCAACTCGACCGACACTGTACATATGACATGTACATGCATGCGATTTTCGTCGTCCAGCGTAGCAAGCTGTGTTCCTTTCAGAGGGAGGGGAGGGGGTCCGAGGACGAAAGGAACGATGTTCGTTTCCGGGACGACAGAAAACTTTTGCGACGACCCCTAAAGAAAAGAAAAAAACTCAGAAGAAAAGTAACTGAGAGATTACTACACAGTATTAAAAACAGACTGGTACCTTTCACTAAAAAAAAAGAGGATTCGCGATTCCTAACTTTAGCGAACTTGAGTGATTAGCTAAATTCGCTAGGGTTTATGTGTCGCTAAAATTAGGGGGTTTACAGTACGCCGACGTCGCTTCACAGGCAGAAATTCGACAGGGGGCGGTAATTAGAGCGGGGGCGATCAACGGTACTTTACGGTAGTTGTTGTATATCACAGTAAACAGAGTATTATTATTATTATTATTATTTATTAAATTTTTAATAGGGCATTCCCACAGGCCTAAGGCCTTCTTACGGGGTACCCTAAAAAAGAGTATCAGTTATTCATTGAGGTAGTTTCATTGCATTACACTTCTGTATCTTTTCTTGAGACGTTCTCACTCACTGAGAGTTTTGAATATTTGGAACACTTGTCATTTTGAATGTGGTTGACATAATGCTTCAATGGTTAGTAATTCATTACAAAGTGAGTACATGAAGCACACGTCGACTTACGTCTCTCTAGCCCTGTTCTCTTCTTCTCTCTTGCCCTGCTGGCTCCTTGTTCTTATTGGCGCATGCTCCACGTAATTGATTCATTCTAATTATCACTGTTCCACAAACTGGTTATCGTTGTGAGCTGAGTGTGAACGAGAGGTTCGACCTCGTGTGTGTATAGAAGAGGTTCGACCTCGTGTGTTCACTATATAACAGTAGTCACAGTAAAGGAACAGATCACTCTTCTCTGACTCACTCCCTTTCTCTCACACTCCCTCTCTCACACCCCTTCTCTATAACACACACATACATATAATAGCTCTCCCTCCTCCTCCTCCTCCTCCTCCTCCTCCTCCTCCTCCTCCTCTCTCTCTCTCTCTCTCTCTCTCTCTCACACACACACACACACACACACACACACACACACACACACACACACACACACACACCCACACACACACACACACGCACGCACCCACACACACACACACACACACACACACACACAGTTCTGCGGTCTCTCGCACTCACTTTCTCTCTCTCCTTGTCTCCTGATCTCTCTGCACATGTATGTATCTGCTGTGCCTTGCATGCAGGGAACAGCGTGAACATGATGCAGAGAATGAATCATATGATCCCTGGGGCAAATCCGGGGCAGGTGCTCCCAATCGTGACCGAGCTGGAAAGGTGGTTGGTACGAGATGTAGCTTTCGCATTGCTTTATGCATACCAGTAGCAACTTTCATTGAGTCCAAGTTCATTGTAATCGAGACATCTGGAGCTGGGTGTAGCGTTTGTCACTGCAATGCCACCATGCAGTCTGGGGCAGCGTATGTCGCATGAGATTTTGGAGACTTGTTTGTGGAATACCCAAATCCAGTCAGAAGTAGTATGTTGCACTGATTCACAATGGGTTTCTTCGTCATACCGGTATATACGGGTACATGTGCCGGCAGCACCAAAGCACAAGCAGCTGAGTATTTGTCATGCATGAAACTCCCTCTGTTCCCCCATGTCTGGCAAGTTGACAATCAGCCAGGGAAAGTGTCATTGCAATCTGGATTTCTCACGCCTGTCTTGCGCTTCTCCTAGCTGATCTTCGACAAATGCGGACCAAGAACGACAAGGGGACGTCGTCGCCCGAGCCTCGAGCAGATCCTGGCCAAGTATCACCTGGACGCCTGCCTGCCACCTTTGACATGGATGGACCGCTCTTGAAAGCGGACGCGTTGCTACGGTCCCCGCCGAAAGGTGGACTAAGCAGTCGTCTAGGCTTCATGGGTGAGTTAGTGCAGCAGGGATTCCGAATGTGCAGCGTTTCCTCCGAAAAGCAATGTACATGTAGATGATGTAGTGCTGAATGCCTTGCACATCAGTAGTGCACGAGTTTTGTTTCGTACAATTGTAGAGTGTTGTTACTCGTGTGCGTACAACTGCTGCATGTGGTGCTGTAGCATTACACCCGTGTAAGTCTTTCCCACTACAACATAGTCTGATTGTGTTGAGCTGGTCGCTGTGCCTCTGTCTGCTAAGGTGATGCTGGTAAGCAGCAGCAGCATGCAGGACAGGGCACTGCACCAGGATCGGAACCTGGTCCGGGCGGCGGCTCTGGTAACGAGTACCGCGACTTCCTACGGCGTCAGATTGAGGAGAAGGCAGAGAAGAAGCGGAAAGAAGAGGAGAGGCAGAAAAAGGAGGAGGAAGAAGAGGTACTAGAAATCAAATCTTATTGCCTATTTTGTGCACTTCTGTAACCCGTGGATGCATTAGCACATAGATTGTGCACTATTGAACCTAATCTGGGCATGTACCGCATGTATGCCTGTTTATATACATGCACTGTACATTGTACTGTTTTCGCAAACGAGTTACCGAGTACAGGTCCTCCCTCGTTAGTAGATAATCTCTGGACCATCGAAGAAGTTATCTTATAACGAGACTTATTGTAACAGGACTTGCAGCTGAAGGTGAAATAGGCACTAATTCATACTTGCCTGGGCGACCCTCGATACAACATAAATTATCGAAGCTTCAACTCGTTATAAGATAATTGAAAATCTCCAGCATAGCTCTTCCTTGGATGCAAAAGATTGTCCATGTCTACGAATACATAGATCTGTAATACGTTGCGTCTTTCTGCGTTTTCCTACGTGTTTTGGCCTTGGTCCTGACTGAGGGTTTGGCATTCCAGGGACCTAGGCAAAGCGTTGTTATAACGAATTTTATGTACAAAACGAATTATGTTGTAGCCGGACCTGTAAACAGTTGTATAGACCACGTTTTGCCAGGAGATTCCAGATTTCTATTACTTACGGGGTTTATGTACTAACCGGACTCGTTACAGGTCAGACCTCGCTATAACGACCCCCGCTATAACATAAACCTCACTATAACGTACAAATGTGAATGTCCCTGCCGAAACCGCATCACTTCTGTACAAAATTTCCTCGCTATAACATAATCCGCTATAGCGTAATGTTCGCTATAACGCACTGTTTGCTGGGTCCCGGGCGCACGGAGACCTCAGCATAACGTAAAAACTCGTATACAAATGACTATGTACACGGCATGCATGCGTTCTCGCGACAAATTCGAGACTGAGCCGTCCACCTCGGAAGCATGGAGTAGTAAAATACCGGTATTTTACTACTCCCATTACTTTTTATAGGCTCTAATCTTATCACATCACGACTCACATGTACAAGTACACGCACTACAATGGTTCTTGTCGCCCCTTTGCTGACAAGCCTGTACACATGTGCACATCTTTGCTAGTCATCATCATACTTGTATGTAAAACAGTACAATTGTAATCAGTAAGTGAAGAGTGTCATTTTGACATGCATATTGCATATTGGTGTGCCCAACTCACTATAACATAAACTTCGCTATAACATAATTTCTCCCATCCCCCAGAGATTACGTTATAGCGAGGTCTGACCTGTATAATGAGGGAGGACCTGCATCATACTTCAGTTTGTTTGTATGTTGTAACGACAGGGTGTGTGCCCTTTAGTGATCACCAGGCAACTGTACATTGTTTTCATGTTTGCGCCTATGCCAAAGTATACACCTGTACATCTGTGCGTGCATTTGTGTGTGTGTGTGTGTGTGTGTGTGTGTGTGTGTGTGTGTGTGTGTGTGTATGTTGAAGTTGAAGTCGGCTGTTGTTGACGCGGCGGAGCAGGTGGTTGGTCGGGACAAGCGGCGGATGCAAGATTGGTTCCGTGACAATGCCCTTGTATTGGAGCCTCTACTGGAGTCTCGTAATACCCTGTATAGCCAATGGCTGAGAAGCGGCAGGGACTCTGATCACCGGGCATTCAAAGAAGCGCGTGGCCGGGCTCGTACTGGTATCCGGAAGGCAAAAACAACTTGGTTGATGGACAAAGCGGCGGTGGTGCACCGTGGACGTTTCAGTGGCAAAGCTGTCTGGTCTGCCATTCGCGACATGCAACGCTGCTTTGGGGGCTTGCAACCCCTGTCTGTCCAATCCATCCGCAATGCCGATGGAGTTCTTTGCGAATCTGTTCAGGAGCAGCAGGGCACATGGCATGGGCATTTCTCGGGTGTCTTGAATGTCTGCAGTGTGTACGATCCGCATGTCTTCCAACTTATCCCTCAGCGTGAGGTCGAGGACTCCCTCTCACTGCCACCATCGGAGGATGAGCTGACTCAGGCAATTAGACACCTACAGAATGGCAAAGCTGGTGGTATGTCACAGATTGTGCCGGAGCTGCTGAAGGTTGGTGTGCCTGTCCTCCATCCACTCCTCCTGGACCTACTCCAATCTGTCTGGTCGGGGGGTTGCGTGCCCCAGGACTGGCGCGATGCACTGCTGGTACCGATTCCAAAGAAGGGCGACCTCTCTCGTTGCGATAATTGGCGAGGGATCGCATTGCTGGAGGTTGTCGGCAAGTTGGCTGCTCGGATCATGCAAAACCGATTGCAAGGTATTGCTGAGGCGGAACTGCCTGAATCCCAATGCGGGTTTCGGCGGCACCGTGGTTGTGCGGACGCCATCTTCTCTGTCCGTCAACTTGTCGAGAAGTCGTACGAACATCGATCGAAGCTCTTCTGCGTATTTGTGGATCTCCGCAAAGCATACGACTCTGTCCCTCGCGAAGCTCTTTGGCAGGCATTGCTGCGGCTGGGTGTGCCGCCCCCGACTGTGGCCATCATCAAATCATTCCATACAGACATGTCAGCTTGCGTTCGCGTTGCCGGTGGTTGCACGGATCCGATATCTGTCAAGAATGGGCTGCGCCAAGGGTGCGTTATGGCACCTGTACTGTTTAACTTGTACTTCGGCTTAGTTATTGAGCGTTGGCGATCCCTTCTCGTTGAGCGTGGAATAGAGTCTGGTGTGGACTTCAGCTTCACAATTGATGGCCAGCTGTTCCCTCGTGTCACTAGGCGTCGTCCCCACTCCGAGTCCGGCCATGCTGATGACTTCGAGTTTGCGGATGATGCTGTACTGCTCGCTACAACTCGCAACGCAGCCGATCAATCCCTGTGTGCCTTTTGTGAGGTCGCATCCAGCTTGGGTCTCACAGTGAGCATGACCAAGACCAAGCTTCTCGTTGCAGGTTTCGGAGTTTGCCCTGCTGATTGCTCTGATTTGGTCATTGGCAGTGATAGGGTTGAAGCAGTCACCTCATTCCCCTATCTTGGTTCCACCATCACTCCAGACTCGCGGTCGCAAGCGGACATTCGGAGCCGTCTAGCAAAGGGTGCAGGGGCCTTTGGTGGTCTTCGGCGCATCCTACATGACCGGAGCCTGAACCTCCCTACCAGGCGCCACCTGTATGTCGTTTGCGTACTGTCAACGGTTCTGTATGGTTCAGAATGCTGGACGCCGTTGAAGGCAGATCTAGATAGAATGGACCGGTTTCACCATGCCAACATTCGCTCCATCCTTGGCGTATCGCGAGGCCGACAGTGGGAACAGCGCATCTCTTCACAAGAACTGCGAGCACAGTGGGGTGATCCCACACCATTGTCACGCATGGTGCAGCAGAGACGGTTGGAGTGGCTTGGGCACCTGGCTCGTCTTGATGACACCAGAGTACCGAAGCAGTTGCTGTTTGCCTGTCTCCCTCAGTCTCGGCCATTCTGTGGACCTCGTCGTCGCTGGAAGGACACCATTCACACGGACCTATCCGTGGCTGGAGTGCGTAACTGGTTTGAGTTGGCAAGCGATCGTGGAGAGTGGCGTGGAGTGGTGACAGCAGCAGGTGAGGACAAGGAACCCGCCCCGAAGAGCATCGAGTGCCCAACCTGCAACCGTCTGTTCCGCCGTAGTTCCGACATGGTCCGTCACAAGTGTTCAGCAATCCGTCAGCTCCCGGTATCGGAGCAGCCTGGATCAGTACAGTGTCCAACATGCAACCGATGGCTACGTAGCAGAGGAGGCTTTGCGGTGCATAAGTGTCGGCTAGGCGATGTCGACCAGCCGCCGGCCCCTGCCCCTGCTCCTCTTGTTGTTCCTGGTGTAACTTGCACCAACTGTCAGCGTTCATTTAAATCGGCTGCGGGTCTCAAGCGTCACCGTTGTGGAACCTGTCCAAAGCGCCCTACTGTGGCTGAACGCCAACAATTCAAGTTTCACTGCCAAGTTTGCCACAACCGACGGTTCCGGAGGCGGCAAGATCTGGAACGCCACTTGGAGCATTGCCTTCCTCCCCCCTAACCTCTCTGACAGTACCTCCCTTTGGGGAGCGGCGTGGCCATTTCTGGCAGCTGTCAATAGTAGTAGTAATAGTAGTAGTGTGTATGTGTGTGTGTATGTGTATGTGTGTGTGTATGTGTGTGTGTGTGTGTGTGTATAGATGTGTGTGTATAGATGTGTGTGTGTGGTGTATATGTGTGTGTATATGTGTGTGTGTGTATATGTGTGTGTGTGTGTGTATAGATGTGTGTGTATAGATGTGTGGTGTATATGTGTGTGTATGTGTGTGTGTGTGTATATGTGTGTGTGTGTGTGGTGTGTGTGTATATGTGCGTATGTGCCTGTACCAATAACCCTTTTCGGCCATGCAAGTTGTCATTGGCTTTTCCCGCTCTGAACTGTACTATCCTGGACGGGCTTTACTATCACTGTCTCTACAACACCCCCCCCCCCCCATCCATACCGGCATTGCACTCATTGTAATCTCATATTTATCTCAGACATCTGCTCCAGCTGTGTATACTGTTTGGAAGACATGAATGTAATTGAATGCGTATTCTTCCTCTCGTCCGTGGTGGTGATGATTCCTTTAGCTGAAACGCATCGAAGAAGAGAAGAAACAATTGGAAGAGCAATATCAGCTTGAACTCGAGAGGCAAAGAGAGAAGGATGAGCTGGTAAGGTGAAAACATGGCCGGTCCTGTTCTTGGGACTTATCTTTTTTTTTTAGGAGACACATTAGTACTGCCCTGCTGGGTCTCAGGTCTACAAATACTGGATCGACCAGAGCCAGCCACTCCAAACCCAAACCAGGTGCTTGCAGACCTAAATCTTCAAGGTTTGGAGGTGCCTTGGGTGAAATTGTTGCGTTTGCCGGCATGCAGTTGGTTAAGGCGGTTTAGCGGCATGCAGGGGAAGGTTTGTAACACTGTAGGTAGGCATGGCGATGATCGTTGTTTGCCATGAAAATGCACAACAGTTGTTTTTGATGTGATCTGGGCAAGTGAAAATTCTCATTTCGTGACATTATATCACCTGTTACGTAGGCTGCTCTTGAAGGAAAATGGGTACTACTAGACTGATCACTATTGTCTGTACACTTGATGGGCATGTGCCTACAAGCCTGTTGGTATTTGATCCGCTTGGTGTGATATTGTGGTGTGGTGTTGTTATGGTGATGTTGTGATGCTTGTACAAACAGGCGAAGAAGGAGAACAAGAAGGCCGCCGAGGACAAGGCCGGGGCCGGCGGCGGAGGCGGCACCCCTGCTCAGCCTTCACCGCCAGTGCATTCTCATCGCAGCAGAGCCAAGCGCAGGTCACCCACACGACAGGCTGACATCAGAACTCCACCTCCCACGTGGCAAGCGGTGAGTGTTCTGGGTACGAAAGATAGCCGAATACCATCAGAATGAGAGTAGCGCTGTGTACATGCTGGACTTACGGTACTTGCACAAATGAACACATGCAATGCCTTATCATGTGTTTTGTGTTTTCTGTATTTGCACGGCCTGATACAGCAGCCCAGAGCCAAGTCACCGCCTGTACCAGCAGTTCGCAAAATGCTTTCCGGAGGCATTGGCGAAGACAGCAGTCCGCACCAGGCGTACACATCTCCACCGAAGTCAAACCGCGCGGCGATGTCGCAGGAACCGGCGGCGGCGGCATCCAGCAGGCGAACGGCATCTCCACCTGTTCCGGCACTGCGTGGTCCTTCACCTGCACACCCAGCACCTCCGCAGTCCCAGCGCCAGCACTGGCACAGCCAACGGACACACTCACCGCCCGTTCCTGCATTGCAAAAGGCAGCGGCAGCAGCAGCACCGAGAACGGACATGGCGTCCCCTCTTCGACAGGTTGAAAATACGTTCAGCACTCGGCGGTCGGAATCGCCGCCCGTGCCCGCACTGCACGACAGCCGAAAGCGTGGATCGCGTCCTTCGTCACGTCAGCGCACGGACAGAAAAGCGACGGCATCGCCCATGCTAGCTGCCCACGCCACGAACGGTGGCATTGCGGGTCTGCCGTCCAATGGTGCAGCCGTCACTGCAGCTAGCACGTCGCAACCCGGTGCCCTTACATCCGTAGCTCAGCAGCTGGCTGAAATGAGAAGACAGCTGGACAACGAGCAGCAAAGATTGAATATGAGAATGAAGATGTCAGAGGTACGTGTATTGGAAACCTACCAGAGTCATTTCGGTGGTCAAGCTCTGTGTATCCACTCTGTGTATCCAGCTGTAATCCTCGGTGATCAAGCTCTGTGTATCCAACTGTGTATCCAGCTGTAATCCTCGGTGGTCAAGCTCTGCCGTGTATCCAGCTGTAATCCTTGAATTAGAAATGTCCTACGTGGCCAATTTAAAGTGTAACGATATGTGTCGACTTTTGCTTGCAGCATCAGTTTGCAGCGCTGGCTGATGTGCATGCAGCAAACTATCAGCAGATTGCCGATGACAAGAGGAAACCCACAAGGTAAGCGACGGACTACCTGTTCCGTGGCTAGTCATGGCTATACAATGGCTATACAATGGCTGTACCATAGCTGGCAACTGGTAGCAGCCACTGTTACCGCTAGTATGCACTCTCTAATACTTTAGTCTCACAGGCTGATGAGTCTACTGAGAAACTTCGTTGTAACTATCTGCCGTGGCTCATGAAACTCTAAAATAATTTCATTGACTGTGTTTAAGGTATATACTCTGGTTCTCTGCACATGAACGTGTCCTGCGTCAATCACCTTGGGGTTGATTTGTTTCCGACCCCCGACCCCCCCCCCCCCCATGCCCCTCCTTTTTCCTCTCCTCCCTCCTCCTCCTCCTCCTTCTCCTCTTCTTCTTCCTCCTCCTCCTCCTCCTTCTCCTCCTCCTCCTCCTCCTCCTCCTCCTCCTCCCCCTCCCACATATCCTCTCCTGGGACTTATAAGTTCAATATTCATCAGTGCTGAACTATGTGACGTATTCACTGTATCACTGTCTGCAGGGAATCTAACCCTGCGAAACCGGATCCGGAGGCCGTCTTCTCATCAGCTGTGTTCAAGCGGAAGCCACGGTTGGTTGCCCTGACAGATCCGGGCAAAATTCAACCTACAGACCCTCCGTTGACGATTGTAAGAGCTCCTAGCTAGGGCGATGATGTGCAAGTTCTTGATCTTTAATTGCTGTGTGGTTTCACACATGCACACACGCATGCACGCGCGCATGCATACACGCACACATGCACGCGCACACACACACACACACACACAAACATGCACGAACACACAGATATGCGTATGTATGTATGCACGTACGCACGCACGCACACACACACACACACACACACACACACACACACACACACACACACACACACATCCACACGTGCACACATGCACACATGCACACACAGACACACACACACACACACGGGTACACTCACACACTTTAGATTCCAGTAGCAGCTGGATTTCCGCATGAGGCTGCAAAGCATAGCATTTTGATGTCTTCTGTTTTTGTATCCTTGGCTTCTTTCATGAACACAGCCTGAAGGCAAAGACCACGTGGACCTGGCTGCAGAACTTCATCAGTTCAACCGTCTGAAGTACCGGAAAGGTGAGAGAAGAGGCGTAGCCAGAGTGACTGCCAGGAATGCAAACCCCTCTACAACGACCTGTCGCTGCGGGTAACGTGCTGGTACCTAATTCCACTTTGCGTACATGAACATGTCAGTCTTGCTGAAGCTTCGTAGTATTGATCCCTACACCAGTGCATACGCTTGCATTGGCTGCTGTCGTGTGCTCAAGTAGTACTGGCTTTATATGACGCGGCAATCTTGGATCATAACTAATAACTTGCTGCATAGAGTGCCTGGGTACACAGAGACTCGTTTCACTGCTGTCTAACCTGATACTTGTACTCTGCCGTGACACCCGCACTGTATTGTATACCTTATGCCGGCTAGTTATGCACCGGGCATGCACTCTTTCTTCATACATGTACGCGTACGGCAGTTTGAAGTTTCAACTAAAGAAATACAACTGGCAGTGTAGAGGGCCGTGTCTGGTGCTGTTCTTGGCCTTTTTCATGGCGCCGATCCTGTGCTGGGGGAGTCTCCTTGGTCGTAGGTGTAGATACTGAAGTATGGAGCATACTGCGTGCACTGGGCAGCTGTAGATTTTCTCTCAGCTGCTTTCTTTGCCTACATGTGTGGTGTGTCCCGGTTTGCGTGTGTGCGCGTGTGTATGTGTGTCTGTGTCTGTCTGTGTCTGTGTCTGTGTGTGCGTGTGTGTGCGTGTGTGTGTCTGTGTGTGTGTGTGTCTGTGTGTGTGTGTGTCTGTGACTGTGTCTGTGTGAACTTCGTGTACTTCAATCTAGATGCAGCAATGGGTCGAGATCAATTGAAGTCCAAGTATCCTGAGCCACCGACCTCAGCCGATAGTATAGACCGGCAGCAAAATGCCTTGCTCAGGTAGGCGGTGGCCGATGTGCACATTTTCCCAGTACAGGTTGTCCCCCGTTAATACGAGTCCGGTTAGTACATAAACCCCGTTAGTACATAAGAAATCTCAAGTCCCGGACGAAACGTGGTCACTTCCATACAAATTTTGTCGGTTAGTACATAATTCGTCAGTACATAAACCCCGTTAGTACATAACATTTCTCCGTACCCGCATGTCACCTACCTCAATAGTACATAATTTGTTGGTCTTTTGGCCTTCCAGTAGAGGCACATTGTGTTCTAGTTTCTACTTGTGGACGCAATTAGCTCAGAAATCAGAGCGCACATCACAAACCGACAGCTCTGTTTTTTTCCGAGTGACTGTACAGGCTCGGCTGGGCATGTATCATGTAAACTGTAGAATCTTCGCTAACTGTGACCGTTATAACATAATTTTTATGTTATATCGAGGGAATCAAGAATATCTCGCTGCCGAGTGGTGGTAGCAAGAAACACTCAGAAAAGTTGAAAATTGGACAACAAAGTACATAAAATTGCTTGTTAGGGCACGGCAAATTGTACTGTGAAGGTTTCGGAACAATTGGACCAGCCGTTAAGGAGTTAGAATTTCGGCCAGGTTTCCGGCCTTTTCCCATGGTTTACAATTTGCCCTGGAAGCCAGTATCGACTTTTTATCAAAACCCACGATTTATCCTTTCCTTTTTGGCCGTGTGGTTATGAATGCTGTCTGCTGACCATGAAGTTGTGAGTTCAAATCCCAAACTATCTTCAAATCAAACTTTTTTTCATTGTTTTGGTGATCACGCTGGCTTGGTAGATCTGCAAAAAAGTACAAGACAAAGAAGGTGGCTGCGCCAAACGACTTGTTGTTGGAGCTCGCGTTTCCTGCCGAACTTACGGACACTTGACTGGTTCACGCCATGTGAACACGGAAGTCATTGCGCTGTAGCTACATGTTGTTGAATCAACGGCACATCGATCGATCCATTCCTTTTTGAGAATTATTTTAGTATTTCAAGATCGCCAAATTATTTGAATTACCCGTAATATTTAGGAGTCAACGCCGTCTTCTATCAGCTTTCACAGGCGTCTGCTTTTCTCAAAATGTCGTCGAAGTCACACGGATAGCTTTGCCAAGCTTCATGGCCTTGGGAATGGGTCTGTGTCGATGTAGTTTTCGTCACATCGTGAGAGTAAATTGCATCGCAGCTCAAAGAAACTATTTGGGCACAAAACGAATTGGGACCCATCCCGCTTGTCAACATTTACCACACTTTCGACATGTCCTCTCTGACTCCATATCGATACGAGGAAGAACTCACCATTTTCGTTCAGCTTCTTCGTCCTAAATAATCTCACCATTTTCGTCATGCCTCCCCTTGCAGTACTCTCTTTGTTTCTCTCCTTATTATTCAGTTCGCCGTGGTTGGCTACCACCCGACTTCTCATATATATTGGCAGTCTTCTGACGAGCCAGGAGATGTTGAATTAATAATAATAATAATAATAATAATAACTCGTTTGTTGTAAACCAGACGTACATGTACCGATGTCGTGAGTGAGTTGTCATTTTTCATGCTTTCGCGCGGAATATTTCTTCGAGTTCACAGTGAGTTTTTCCAGCCAGCACTCAAGCGCTCATACGGTAAGACGGCAAACTCCCCGGGCGATCGCCAAGATTGCTAATCTTTTTGAAACGGACTGTAGTGCTGAAGCAGAACGGGGAGCCAGTTCAAGATCTATATTTTCAATGTGGAGAAAGATGCTAAGCAGATTCTCTGAAATCACCTCGGGGCATATAGCTCAGTGGTAGAGCATTCGACTGCAGATCGAGAGGTCCTTGGTTCAACTCCGAGTGTGCCCTGCCTACTTTTTTTTAACAACCTTATATTTTGTACACAGTAGAGAAGTTATGATGAACAAAGTTTCGTAGTTTGAACAGAGACTGGCTAGGATGGCTATGAAGCTCCGTTTTTTGGGAGCTTGTGCGAAAGTGGGAAGTTTTCTCAGGGCACAAGAAATGGGTATGAACAGTGCCGTATGCACACAGTCAGTGCATGACCGTATGCAGGCGTCGTAATGATCCCCAATCTGTGTTGCAGTGATGCTGCCGGGTGATGACTACGAGACTAATTTTGGTTGCCGAGCTCTTGTTTGGTTAAAAGTTGCCGAAAGTTTGTATCACGAACTTTCACTTTTCAAGGTCTTCGTGTTCCAATCTTACAAAATGTCACTGTGTAGAACCCTCTCAGGCTAGGCTCTTACACTAAGCATCATCATCCGAATTCATGATGCGTCTGGGAGCAAGCTCAGTTTATCATTTTTGCAAGCATTATTAGGGACCACCTGTTTGATAATAACATTACATCACCCCCCCCCCCCCCCTCTCTCTTCCCCACACCAAATTTCAGAACTTGCTTTGAAATTATCATTGCACTGAGATGGAGTAGAACGGTTGGCGGAGGACGGAGCGTGCTTGCCAGCATTCAGCCTGATATCATATCATGTATGCTACCCATGATCATGCTTGGAGAACATGTCAGAATAGACGTCGACTAGCGGGTGTGATGTTCATATTTCTCCGTGTCTTGATCGTGGTCTTTGTCTTCCCCAACTCATGCAGACAGCAACACAAGGACATTCAGCATTTCCAGAAAGGTACGGCATTGCAGTGCCAAGTTTTGAACTGTTCTAGCATGGTATTCCCACAGTGGCCAGCTACACATGGCCATGCTATAGCTATGCTATAATTATTTATAGGGATGTATTGACTATGGAAGTAGCCATAAGCATGGATGGACTATGGAAGGAGGCACAGGGATGAATCGTACACAAGTACAGTCACTCAATACAGTCAGACCTCGCTTATCCGGATCCCTCGCCATCCGGAAGAAAATTGTTGGCTACCGATTTACAGCATTATGCCATGCACACATACAGTATGTGTGGTCGATTATCCGGTTCCCTCGCCTATCCGGATATTTTTGCGGAAAACGGATGTGTGTGGTTATGCGAGGTCTGACTGTATACTGTTCAAACTTTGAGTTTGTTGGATAGAACCTTAAAAATACTTGTACAGTGTAGTACGTATCAGGACTTAATTTAGCTGCCCAGTTTCTCTACCAACAGTTACCATTTTTTTGTAATTAACCTGAAGGCTACATCAAGAGTTATCTTTCAGTACTTGTCGAAGTAGACGATCAGACATATTCCATACATGTAGCATTGCGCTACCGACAGTGAGTGGTGCAAATGACATTTTAACTTCTGTGCACTGGATTGGCGTTCTTCCTGCCCCGGTACAGAGCTTCTCAAAGAGCCACCGGCGAGGAGTGCTCTCCACCGTCGGTTCCCAGCATCCAATTATGTGGCTGCTGCCGGCATGTCTGATCAGTCGGTGAGCTTGCCTTTGTACTCTACTGAAGAATACAAACAAACAAAACTGCTGTACTGCGGAACATGCATGTATTTTTGAAGTATGAATTCGTGTGCAACTGCACTTCATGCTAATCAGATACAAGTCATGTGACTGGTATAAAAGGTACTAGTTACCATGTGATTATATCAATTGAAAGGTGGCAATCAATAACATGGAATGCACAGTAGACTGGTTCCGTTCCTCTGTTCACAGAGTGCTCAGCACTCGCTCACACAGTGCTCAATGCCCGCTAGCCAGAGCTTTTCAGTCTCACAGAAAGCAGAGCGAGGTTTTCATTTATTCATGCTCTACTTTTGCATAGCTAACTGCTTTGATCCTCTCTGGAGCTCAAAGTAGCAAGTGGAACCGATTGCAATGAACTCTACCGAGCAACAAGGCATGTTTATATCGGCCCAGAGCTTCAAACAGCTCAAAGGCAGGGTGTTCATTAATAGAGAGGTTGCGCACAACGAAAATCCGTAGCGCCGTAACGAATATTTTAACGAAAAAGCTAACGAATATTCGTAAACCATGAGGTTGCGCACAACGCGTGAACTTTTTCGTAGTGGGTCGACGCGGCGGCCGCGCGGGTGCGAAGAGTCAAGACAGGGAGTTGTAAAATATCAGTATTTTAGTACTCCAGGTAATGCAAAATATTTTCGTAGATCTGCTCTGTTTCGGTCGCGTTTGGACGGATCTTCGGAGCAACTTTCGTTACTCGAACCCGGACGGTCGAAATCTAACGAATTTTTGTTGTGCGCAACCTCTCTATTATTCAAGATATTCCCCCAAGGAAGTTGGTTGCTCCCACACTAGCTATTTGGTGCTATTCCCCCAGGGCCAAAATCATATATGACCAATAGTAGGGTCTCCGAGAATAACATCGCTGCGAAATACAGTTTTGTTGGACCTCCGAGTTTCGCACAAAAGCTACCCGTAGGTAACAATTACTACAAGCAAACATCGTTCTGCCCTCGGTGTAAAGTGGTGTATGGTGTATAGGAATGCTCTGGCCATGGTAATACAAGAGTACTGGAGTACTTTGCATGCACTGTATCTTGGTAATTGCGACACCTAGTACATGTACTTGTACTGTTGAGGGAACGAACTGAAATGATAACCCAACCAGATGTCTGCACCATGCATTTCCGTACATGTACTTGTACATGTACAACTGTGTACACATGATTGTTACCCTACATGTATGCATTCATGTGATGATACGTGATTTCTCCTGTAGAGAATTGACGGAATGCTGGACGATACCTATTCCATTGCTGCGGAAACGGCCTTCATGCCTGTGGATCACGACGGTGATGGCATCGGTATCGGTGGCGGTGAGTCGTTACATCTGCCACTGGATGAGAATGGTGACATCAGTGACGTGCCCATAATGGAGGCGGCCAGGCAACGCAGCGCACAGAGGCAACGGCGTAGTGCCGATCCTGGAACATGGCGTAGCAGTGCAGCGTGGCTGGACATTGACGATGAACTTCGCCTATCGCCCGATAGCCTCCACCACGCAGATCACGTGAGTCGGCTTGCCTCCACTGTCTGCCAGACTCACCAGTATGAAACATTGGCATAGCTGTGACGTCATCCATTAGCATAGCTGTGACATCATTACACTGCATTATGACATTATTGTGCCCACAGTCTTCACAGACTTCAAGTTTTAAGACATGATGAGAACCTGGCAAGGAGCCGTATGATCATGTGAGACCTCAGTGGTATTCTCACCAGTCCACCGATTTCTGTCACATTACTACTACTACTGTCCTACACTGGGATGATGATCAGTGGTGTACATGTACATAAAATGCACATTATGTATGTTATGTATGTCGCTTCTATTCACAGGATCATCTTCAAGAGCATGCGCTTACATCGCGCAGTATGCTGCAGCCAGGCTTTCTTGAGCGGCAGAACGAAGACCGGCTGAGACGGCTGCGTGACACGGCAGGTCAGGATGCAAAGCTTAACAGTTACATGACATTGTATCTCTTTCCGCTGTACCCTCACTCCCTCAGTGTGCTGGCGAACAGAGATGCAGATGGCGATACGCACCGGGAAAACATAAGTCACATAATACCCCTTGATCAGCATCTGTTAGAGGAGGAGCGCCATGAGAGTTGTACATGTTGCATGTAGGAGCATAACCCCAGCAGAGGTTTCTATGGTTCTGGTCACCAGTCCATAAAAAGTGTTCGCCAGAAAGACCTGACTTTGCATTCACATATAGGTACTAACATGGAAGTGTATGTGCCGGTTTCCGGGTATATATCACTGCATGTCACTGCATGTCACTGCATACTAGCAGTAGTAGTACATTAGGCATACGCGTACATCGTCAGGTTCCTAACGTATCACCCATGTGACGGACTCCGTAGGCTTAGAAATGCAAGACTGGTGATGTGTTTGTTCAGAACCACTGTATTCGCTCACATTCATCGAGTCCCAGCGTATGCATGCACTGGTGCTGGATTGGCAGGGACCTGCTGCTATTCATGCCCTTAAGAGTAGAGCTCCTTCTTCGTCCAACTAGCTTGGAGCAAAGCGTATGGAAGTGTGCTTGCATCCTGTTTTCATTGCAGATGATATTCAACATGGCGTTGCCGATCCTCTCCACATTTTGAATGATTTTGTGGCAAGAAGGCCGCCTCTAGACAGGCAAGTTAGCTACCGGTATGCAGGGGCGTCGGAACCGGTGCGGCAGGTGCGGCCAAAGCCGCACCAATAATTTTCGATTTTTTTAATTTATTTTTTTACATTTCAACCTTGTTGGTGGCTTTTCGACTCTTGTACAGGTACCATGTTTTACATCGACAATGCGGTGTATCATCAGCATGTATATTCTTTTTATTATTCTATATGGCTTTTTAGGCCCAATTTTCAAAAATTTCCCGGGGAGGACCCCCCTCTCACACTTTCGCCGCACCAATGTTAAACTCCTTCCGACGCCCCTGGTATGTGTATGTATGCTAGACACTTGTCAGGACTGAGATCAGGACTGAGATCAACCATTCATGCAAGCAGCAATCTCCTGCCTAGCAATCATGGCAGTTTACAAGAAGTAGAGAACTCGAATGTATGAGCATGCCATTGAGGAAGAGAGACAGTCCGGGCTGCGTCCTACCAGCCTGTGTAGCTTCACAGGAAGCGTGAGTTTCGAAATCTGAAGAGAATGTTGAACGGTCTGCTGGGATGACAGCTACACCATAGCTCAGTGGTTAGAGCATCGCTGGCCTCAAGCGAAGGTCCCTGGCTCCAGTCCTGGCGGTGACAGTCAATTTTGTCTTCAGACTTTTCCCTTTTCCATTCCCAACTAGTGAATAAGGGATAAGAGACGGTTCAAAGTGCACTTTGGGACGTGTCTACCAGCTCTAGGTGTACATGTATGTCAACTGTTGATCCCGTGCCTACTCAGCAATCATACTGAAGTGTGCTATCCGGCTTTTGTACTATACTGACAGGGCGCCGTCACCATCGGTGAGTTTGAGGACGGAGACCACCTTCAGACCAACATCGACCGGCACTCTATATTAGGCAGCGTCCAGAGAGACCCAGTAGCTGTGGTCGCCATGCTCTATGCGCTGATTGGTTGTCACGGATGAACTAACCACCTGACTGCCGTACGGACTTGACCCAGACTTGAATCATACGCAGAACTACATGCACGTATACAGATCTACATGTATTGTGTGTAGAATTTGAGGACTATTTTAATTGCAATGGCGCTGTTCTAGGGTGGTACGTGATACATCTCGCTGATGATGCCGCTGATGATGTCGTACACGCTCTGAGTTTGTTGATTGCCTTCAGCCCCTGCTCTTGTTCACATGTCGGTGCAACACACAAATACTCATAATAACAATTACGGCATCGTGCTGTGCAACTGTGTATGTGTCTGCACGTGTGTGTTATGTGTGTGTGTCTGTGTCTGTGTCTGGTTGTCTGTGTGCTGTTCGCTATCATCGCTTCCGCGATGAGCAGGTCTGAGGTCTGAGGTGTGTGTGTTTGTGTTTGTGTGTGTGTGTGTGTGTGTGTGTGTGTGTGTGTGTGTGTGTATGTGTGTGTTCGCACGTGTGTGGATGTATGCATGCGAGTTTTTTTTGCGGAACCCGTCGACCCTGGCCAAGAAGAAAGTTTCGCCGTGACAACACACACACACACACATTGAAAAGGACAGCCAAGCAACTGTAACTTAGTTACAGGTACACACAGACATGAAGGCAAACTCGGCCAAGCAGCTGGCTCAGGGCTAATGCTTCGTGCATCAGCAGCATGGCTCATGCAAGTGTTTGTTTTTGTGTGTGGACCAGCTAGCCACTACTTCGTACATGTAACTCCGGTGTGGGCACCACCCTCGTGAGCAATGCATGGCTGTGTTCCTCAGTGCTTGCCCCCAGGACCGTGACTGTTCCCATGATTCTGATTTAGTTTGGACAGGCGACAGTAGCTTACATAGCTACTCATGATAGCACCGTGGCTATGGTATACGCCAGCCCTTTGCTTCAGATCCACCTTCTGGCTTCAGCACGAGTGCAGGGGAAATAACGTTACATCATGTACAGTGTACAACGGTGGAAATGAAGAAGAGAAGGAGTCCAGCAGAGATGCCAATGCGGATAAGGAGAGTGCTGTAGCAATAATATCATGGAACGAATGGCTCTTCTCAACTGCAAGTCTAGTAGATGCTGGTCATATCAAAGTGGCCCGTCGGGTACATCTGCCGGCACATGCATCATGAAGTTCATGCAAACTAAGTCTACCCATCCTACGGCTTTCCTCGTTGCGGTCGAGCGCTCTTCCCGGTTTGCTCCACAAGTCACGGATGACACCAGGAGTCCATAGCACCAGGGGTTAAATGGACTCTTGATGACACCTTTGGTATAATAAGTTACTCTTTAGCCTTTAAGTCACTGTAAAAAAGGAATGTCCTGGGTCGGAGATTGGCAGCTGTCCATATTCAATACTGCAGATAGCTTGGCCCAATGAGGTCACCGCCTCATCGTGACTCGACTGCAACAGTTACTATCTAAGTACAGTGTAAGACCGTCGCGAAATGAAAAGAAGTGCCGCCCATGACAATAACCACCAACATACAGACACCAAACGCTAACCAGCCGGCAATTCCCGGCGTATCCAGAGTGAATATTATGGCTTCTTGATCCTATCAACAGTGCTCTACAGTACAGGACAGTTATGTCCGATCCGACCTCCTTTCCCCACCCGCATGTACATGACATTGTATACACTGCGTTTGTTTGCCAACTCCTTGCATCTACATGACTGTGTACTGACTGTGTACATGTGTACATGTACTTGCAACAAAACCATGGACTCAGTAATCATGGTAATGCGGAGGCCGCACGGCGAGCGCCTGCATGATTGGCATTGATTGCACACGTGACGTGCGTAATCGTTCGTGCATGTAATGCTTGAGACGGTAGAGTCCAGACCAAAGGCAAAGAAGCTACATAGCAGGACAGACACGGACAGTAATGGACTCATGGACACCTGCACCTTGCCTTGACTCTTGCCGCATGTATTGAAAGTCCCGGTGCGAGGGCATCGTGCTGGGTTTGTAAACAATGCTCCACATGCGGGGCATTGTGCTGGGTTACTTACGAAAAAAGTCACACAGCGTGGGGGCATTGTAATTATTGTTGTACTGGAATACCTAAGGCTATACCATGGTTTGTCCAGCACAGACACAGTACTACATGTAGTATTGTAGAAGCAAGCACTATCATGTAAACTGACTGTAGAGTGTAGTTGCTTGCTTGCTTGTACTTGTAGTTGCTTGCTTTCGACCAGAAGCGGTGTCAGCCCATGCGACATGTGCGAAGTCCAGAGGAAGATTATGGACTACCGACGGTGCCCTGTGGCCGTTTGGCACCCAATGTGAAACAGGCTTGGTCGAGTGTGCTTGGCAGGGAACCGCAGTAGATTATGGCCGCCGCCTCCATCAGTACAGCTTCACAGCCTTTACTTTGTATAATATGTATAATAAGTATTATCCATATAAAAATCGCTCTGTGAGCGGTTCTGAAAAACCTTTACTGGTACTGCCCCGTCGTAAAAGTAAGAAATTAGAACTGGCCCATTGTCCCCCCAAATGCGAACTGATCCACCTAAATCGCGAATGACGGGACCCGAACGCACCAGTAGCACGAGGTCGGGAGGGCACAGGATCACGGCAATTATCATAGGGTAACACCAGTAGTAGCAGTAGAATTTATTATTTTGATAGGGAAGCCTACCGCTAGTACAGTACATGGCCTATGGTCCGGACCAACTAAACGTCCCCATCTGCATCCACAGGTAGGAACCTCGTGCTACTGGTGCGTTCGGGTCCCGTCATTCGCGATTTAGGTGGATCAGTTCGCATTTGGGGGGACAATGGGCCAGTTCTAATTTCTTACTTTTACGACGGGGCAGTACCAGTAAAGGTTTTTCAGAACCGCTCACAGAGCGATTTTTATATGGATAATTTCAGCTCTTTTTCCGTTCCCTCCCCACCCCAACCCCGAAGGTAAACATGTTGACCACGCGCGCGATGTACTGTATGTAGCCATGCGACTGCAATAACACACTGATACATACCAGCCCTCCCCGCCTCGCTACCCCGCACACAGATACACAAACATGTGTATGCACACGGCACACACACGTGGCCACGCACACATACGCACATGCACACGACACAAACAGGAAATTCTTCATGTATAATGCCATGCAAAGCAGTGGCCACCGTACTTGAGGAAGTCAGTTGTGAAACAAAAATAATTCAACTACAGCGTGTAGACAAGCTGACGGCCAAAGCACAACATAGCAAACATGACATTTGCCCAAGGATTGCAGTTTGCAGACCATGCCATGGAAGCAGCGAATACAGAATGTAATATCATACAAAGTGACAAGCAAGGACGTGGCCATCATACACCAGAAACTCGCAGAAAGTCACATATCCAACAGATAGAGAAGTGAACAGCAATCTGATACAGCCCACACAGGACAAAGCGGACCTGATACTCGTCCCAGGATCGCAAGTGGCAAACCCCTTTCAATGCATAACATGCAGGTGTACGTTAGACGCATGAACATCTGACCGTGTCGCCAGTTTACAATGTCATCACATGTTTACCCCACAAGTTACACACATGCACAGTAGAAGCACAATGAAAGCAATGGAAAAGTACGATGTGGTTGCTGAAGCATCTTCACACTTCAAATTCAGACTTCAATGTGGTCGTCACGGGATGATATACCTGCAAGATACAAGTGATGAAGAAAGGAAGCAGAAGGTCGTGAGGTAGGCTATGAGACACCCATGTCTGTTCAGGGCTAGTGCACTCACACGGAGAATTGTCATAATCGAGCATTTCCCAAACTGAGAAGTGCAATGAAATCCACTTGCGTGCACAGGAGCAATTTTGCAATATTATGATGCGCAATTCGACACGATCTGCGATGCTGCATGCGATGTGCCCTGCTGTCATGATAGTGACAGTCACCGCAGTATGTTTTGTCAACGTCGCCCGTGCACTCTTCTGTCAAGTCCAAAGTGCTCACATACTTGGCAATGTTTTTGCAGTGATTAACTTTTATCCTAGTTATGTCACGGGTAACTTTAATGAAGTACCCGCAGGCCGTGTCGATCCGCACATCGTCCTCTCTCTCATGTACTTGGCCTGCTTTGTCTGTGTATCCATTTCATGTGCGATCCCCAAAATCGACTAGACAGTGGGTGCAATACGCTCTCTACCTGAAGACGTTCTTCTGGCGACATCTCGCCATGTACTTGGCCTGGCTTTGTCTGTGTATCCATTTCATGTTCGATCAACAAAATCTCAATGCACTACAGAGACTAGACAGTGGGTGCAATACGCTCTCTATCTGAAGACGTGAACCATTAAATTTTTTGGAAAAGTTATACGTACACCTGAAACGTAATGAAGTACAGGAATAGAGAGAGTGACTACAATACGCTCTCGACCTGATATAGTGATAACGTGAGTACAGTAAGTATCGTTTATAAAGTGACCGGATATAATGATATACCGGTTATATATATATAGTGATAGAACATGTCAAAATCAAAATCAAATCAGAAAAAATACAGCTAAAATATCACTATATACACTATTATCGGCTATACCGATATATCGCTTATTGTGATGGACTTCAGGAAGCAAACCATATCAAATGTACAGGAAAATATCGCATATAATGATCAAGAGTGATGATCACAAAACAATTGTTTTTTTCGACGTACTCATGATCTCTTTTTGCACCAACCCATTATTTTAACTGCACACACATGTCCGTTTCTGGCTGTGCTACCCCTTGCAATGTGCTCCCTTTGTATGCTCTTGTCCGTTTCTGTATGCACGTGTCCTTTTCTGGCTGCGCTACCTCTCGCTCCCTTTGTATGGTATTGTCCTTTTCTGTATCTTTCTGCACGCTTTTTGTCCGTTTCTGGCTGTGTTGCCTCTCACGATGATGTTGCCAACTCACGTACACAGCCACTCATGTCTGGCTCTACGCAACTCGTTGGACACGGAGTACGCGAGTACGGATCAGGCTTTTTTTTGGAGAACACGCTGAAGAAGCAGCCATGCCACATGATGTATCGAAGTATTAGTACATGTACATGTACAGTCTGTACTCGTACTGCACTGCCATGCACTGCTCTGTGTCATGCACCGGTACTCAGTCCGCGGAGCATGCATGCACTTTCAGCATGCTTTTTCCAGCGTGTACGCATCATTTCATGTGCAGTCATGTGCCATGTGTCGGTCAAACATGCAAATCGGCTATAGTGATGCACCGGATATAGTGATAAATTTTCGAAAATCAAAGGGGCACGTTTAATATATCCGATATTTACTGTA